CTTTGCTCCTGTCTCCCTGGTCTGCTGGGGGGGTCCAGCGGCTTTGCTGGACCCCCCCAGCAGACCAGGGAGACCAGGAGAAGCTTTCCTCACCCCGGAGGACACGGGTGGCGAACCGCCGCCCGTGAGCTCCGGGGCGAGAAAAGCCCCGTTCGTAAGTGCGGATCCGACATAAGTTGGATCTGCGTAAGGCGGGGACTGCCTGTACTTCCCTAGGGAACCCATCCCAGTGCTTCACCACTCTCCTAGGGAAATCGTTTTTCCTAATATCCAACCTGGACCTCTCCCACCGCAACTTGAGCCCATTGCTCCTTGTTCTGCCATCTGCCACCACTGAGAACAGCCTCTCTCCAGCCTCTTTGGAACCCCCCTTCAGGAAGTTGAAGGCTGCTCTCAAATCCCCCCTCGCTCTTCTCTTCTGCAGACTAAACAGACCCAACTCCCTCAGCCTGTCCTTGCTCCTTTTCCTGTCCTCAAAGGTTAAGGATACAGTTTTTCTCCCTCCTCCTTCTAACACCCTTTAAGAGCCATTAACCATTATCCCCAGTGTCAGGCTGGGAATGCAGAGATGGAGAAGTTTGGCAGAGGTGCTGAAAGAAACCAGGGCGGGTTTCGAGGCCAGTGTCAGGTATTTCCTTCCCTGTGTAATAGTTACTAAGATGGATCACTTAGGGAGAGCGTGGGTTAGTGGTTAGAGCATGTGGCGGTGGCAGCATGGTGGTCTGGGTTCTCTTCCCTGCCCCGGTACTCCTGGAGTGAGTGTCCCTTCCCTGACGCTGTAGTGTCCCAGAGATCTCCCACGACTCCCCCGGGAGCAGCCAGTGCCTCCTGGAGCATCTCCTGAACCGGCTGCAGAATAACTCCTGTCACGTCAAGCTGAAGGTAACTGGGCACTGCCGGGGCAGCACAGCCCCAGGGTCTGTCCTTGGGGTGCAGGCAGGAGGGAGGCGAGAGCTCGGGGGCAGTGGGACTGAACGTGCCCAGGAAAAGGGGGCGCAGGCCATGCTGCACGGTTGCTGCCCACCCTGGTGTGACTGGAGAGGAGCTGGGGAGCCTCCACCTGGCTCCCCGCTCTGCCTGTCGGGCTCTGGTGCTTTCCACCCGCCCCTGCCCAGTTCTGGTCTGGCTAAGTGCAGGCCGCCGAGCGAGTCCCCAGGCCTCCGATTCCGCTGCCCCAGCCTCTGCTGTGTCGCCAGGTGCTGAAGATCCTGCTGTACATGTGCACGCACGGCTCGGCGCGGTTCCTCCAGCAGCTGAAAAGGAATTCCGCCTTCATCCAGGAAGCAGCAGGTAGCCGGGCCCCTGGGCGGCCCCGGGATGGGCTGGGTCAGCGCCGTTACCTGGAGAGAGGCCGCCCCAGGGCAGCGCTGGGCACTGAGCAGGGAAGGGCCCCCCACCCCCCTGGTGCTCCTGACGTCCCTGCTGCCAGCTGCGAGCTGTGGGGGGTTATTGCTGGGCCTGGTGCACCCTGCTAGCTGTGCCTGGGTGGTGGAAGGCCTTACGCCCCTGCGCCAGCCCAGCCCGTCCCCCCCTCTGCCTCCTAGTGTTTGCAGGGCCGCCGGATCCCCTGCACGGCAACAGCATGTACCAGAAGGTCCGAGCAGCAGCACAGGTGAGTGGCGCCCCGCCCCGGCCAGGGGATAGGACTCTGCTGGGCCGGGGGAATTCGAGGCACCCTCCTGCCCTGGCTCCAAGCCCTGGCCAGGGTTGGCTGGAGCCGGATTGGGGCCCGGGGCCGTCTCCTGGCTGTGTTGCTCTGTTCTGTCCCTGCAGGACTTGACCAGTGCTTTATTTTCCGATACCTTGCTGCCCCTGGCGACTGCTCAGCCCTGCAGGCCGCTTCCCCCAACAGGTAAGCACCAGCCCTCAGTGCCCCCCCCTCCCCCCGAGAGG